ATTCATGTAAATAACAGATTCTCCATAAATTTAAACCTATTCCTGAATTGCAATGCAACATGTTAAAAATCTGTGCTCAGAATTTATCTTCAGGAATTCCCGTCTACTTGCAACATAGGTAGGTTCAGCATACGGATAGTACATCCTGGCCATTAAATTGAGTTAGCAAAACGTCTCGGGCGACTGCACTCAACATCGCACAATAATGGCCTTCTGCCCTGACCATTTCCAGAGTGCTTCATCACCTCACACTTAATGAAAATACCGTGCTTGAATTTCGTATTCAGTGCGACAGGAGCACTGGGACATTATGCATAATTTCATTGCACTGCTTCTGGCTATTGTCTTCCGAAGAATCCCACTTATTTTTATTAATATGTACGAATAGGTGCTTAGATAAATTCCTCGTGACAATTAAGGAATTTTATAGGAACCCTAAACGTAAGGTATATTACTGACTCTCATATAGTTTTAAATGCTTTCAAAATACAGTATTGTTCATAAACTATAAATACTTACTTTTAGATTATCATTTTGTTTCTTTCGCAATTGATTGATTACGTATCTACTTTTATTTTTTAGAATATGTTTAGGTTGGCAGCTAAACATCCAAAATCGGATCTCGATTGCTAAATAACTGAGTATTATTATTATTTATTCTTATTCGAGGATTAGGTATATCTGTTCCAACTTTTGACAATATTTGACTTAATAAATCTTGTGTTAAATTTAGTCGAGTCACACTTTAAAATTTGTTACAGCTATCAGGATGATTGAAAAAAAGTACATATCAAACTTATGTTTTGCTTATAATACGCTTTTTATAACATAAAATTTTATTTGGGAAATAAAGGTACATCTGAATAAGGCATTGTTAAGAAAATGTGATATTTTTTTGGAAGACTATGAGAAAATGTAAAACTCGAAATCAGCCACTTGGTTGTTATTTAGGCAACATATTTTCTGACCTAATTCAAAGATCACTTCTTAATATAAAACTAAGTTATATAAACTTACATAGAAAATTCAAAAAAGTTCGTCTCAAAATTAACTTATCTTCGACTCAATTTTCATTTTACATTGGGCAAAACGCGGAACGGTGAAAACAGACCGTTCAAAACGAGTTCAAACACATTTCTTGCTTTTCAAGAAAACCTATACGCGTACCCGTTATCATCCGGAAATTTAGTTAAATATGTGTTTTTTTATTTTACTAACAAGTAAATATATAATTCAATTCATTTAGTTGGAACTTGTCCCAATTTTCTAATTTCAAAGTGAAATTGCTACGGTCGGGACCAAAAAGAAAATAAATTAGAAGAGCGAAGAAGGAAGTGCACGGCACAAGAACGGTAAAAACTGGAACCGAGGAGACTCTGCCACAAATACGTAAATTGAAGTTGTAAAACTCTCAAGAATGAAAATCTCTAATTTATCGTTGGTTAAAGCGTTATAAATTACGTGGTACGTATACAATAATTCTTAGCAAACATATATTACTTAGTTCTTTGGTGACCTCGGCGCTCCATTATTTGAGGCGCTGTGCTGCAGTCTTCGAGTGGAAAAATTGGCAAAGTTAAATTTTATGGATTTATTTGCTTTCACACAAACACTAATATTTTCTGAAATACTCCAATTTGCTAAATACAAATATACGTCTACGGGCTATCTTCAATATACGAAAACAAAAGGCAATACAGATCTATTTCAAGCAAATAAACTAATTTCCAAACCAAAACGAAAACGAAAAAAATAAATAAATAACGTTGGCAATTCTCAATCCGTTATGCATTTAAAAAGTACCCGAGTCACTCTTAGCAATGTGTAGACAAATAATCTCAGTGATTTGTAATAAATATTTTGCGATACTTTTCATCACATCTGATTTGAAAGAACGTTTCTCAAAATAAAGGTTTATATTTGTGAGGAAACGGAAGTAAATTTATACCTCTAGCTACTCAAAACCTTTAGATTCAGAGTATTTATCATCAACGAGTTCCAACGAGTTCCATTAACTGAACATGCCATTCGTATGCGATGTTTGTCAGAAAACATTAGTCTTGAATTTTTTGCGATTAAGTGGATGCATATTTCAACGTAGTTTTCAGTTCTGATCAGCTTTTCTGAATATCACTTATCGATGTTCTCCAAAATGAAGGTCATTTATTCTTGATTAAAATTCATATCTTCTGATATACATATGAATGAAAAGAACTTTGGTTTTCTACGACGTCGCACGAGAAGAAGTGTCAACACATACATCTACTACCAAATCCATTTTACACAGCCAATCAAAGAGTAAATAAGAATGGTGGCACTTTTGACGCTTCAGAAATGTGGTTCGTGTGCAGGGGTCTTGGTGACTAAATTGACCAAAGTCGCCAGGTCTTGGTGACTAAATTGTCGAGTTACAAAAGTCGCCCATCTGCGGGTGTCCTTACAGCAGCGGTCGGGGAACTTTTTTAATCATTACGCCAAAATATTTTTGTGTAAGTTGATATTACCCCATGGTGAAGAGCAAAAAAAAACGAAATCGCCTCCTGTTACCATCTTTCATATTATAGCCCCCCATGATAATAATTATATAAATATATATAAAATATACTTTTTACTCACAAAAATTTCATTTTTACCCCATTTGGGGTAATTTACCCCGGTTTCCCGACCGCTGCCTTACAGTATGATGTTCTTATTATATCGATTTTTGTTTCAAAATTATTCGGCTATAGACACTCTCCCCAGAGGATGTTTATTATACAGGGTGTTTGGTAAGTAGATGCATTCCTTACAGGGGTGATAGTGCAAGTAATTTTGAATATATTTCGTTAATAGACCAGGTTCCGAAAACCATTAGTTTCCGATCTACAGGGTGTTAAAGTTTTAATAACAATTTGTTGTTTTAAACAATACACGTTTTGTGATGAAAATGTTGTTTCTATCTTTTCCAGTGGCGTGGGTACAGGCATGTCTGTAGATAATTTTAAATAGACAAATGTCACGCTACTGATTTTTCTCAAAATAAATAATATTTGCCAAGTTTCTGTTCAATTTGGAAGAGAAAACGTCTCTTGACTTTTTCTACGACGTACCGTTTGCGAATAAGCAAATTAATATCGATTTACTTCATAGCTTAAGCGGGTTGTGGTTAAGTATGGTTTAGTATCAAAAATTGCGCAGTTGGATTGTATCAATTTTATTACAAAAATTATTACTAGCCGCAGTTGACATCAGTCTTAGATTTTCTTTATTTGTTTTTTACCTATTAGATTAATTTACCTGTTAATTAAAATTTTACTTATTCTTAGTATTGAAATGAGCACCACGTTTGCTTTGATACGGAAAAAAGTCATGTTATTCATTAATTCTTAACCACTTAAGATCTTTCTCAAAATGATGCCCATTTCTCTAACGCATGTATGTCCCTGCCTTCTTATTTCTGTCCGGGTTGCCCTGGCCGAAAGTGTATGTGTAATAGCGGTATCTGTAATGCGCTGTATTAATTCCTCCCTTGTATGTATTTCTCCGGCATAAACCAACTCTTTCATGCTACCCCATACGTGAAAGTCTAACGGAGTTAGACCTGGGCTTCTAGCAGGCCATAATATGGGGCGTCCTCTCCCCATCCATCGATTAGGAAAACACTAATTAAGGTACTCCCTTACAGTTTGCTCCTACGTCAATTTGCCTACCTTGTACTTCTGCTGACTCACCCCCTAGAGGGGGTGAACCCTTCGATAGGTGTTTGCAAAGACACGGATATTTGGAAGCCGCCACTATTTCCGTCGCAAAGTCCATAAATGTAAAGAATATCTGCGTATTCAACATTCGAAAATTCAGCCATTTCAACAAATAAAGTTTTCAACTTATATGAAAAGAAGGTGACAACAAGGTTACTCAGACACTCGAAATGACACCAATTATTACTTTTGTCAATCAGTGACAAAAACTAGTGCAGAGCCAACTTTTTAATAAAAACCCGATTACGCTGTGCAATAAGTCGATTTTAGTCGAATTTGTTTACTCGCAAACGGGACGTCGTAGAAAAAAAGTCAAGAAACCTTTTATCTTCTAAATTGAACAGGAACTTAAACAATATTGTTTACTTTTAGAAAAATCAGTGGCGTAACATTTTTTTATTTAAAATTATCCACCGACATGCCTGTAGCCACGCCACTGGAAAAGATAGGAGCAACAGTTTTATCGAAAAACGTGTATTGTTCTTAGTTGCCTAAGCCTGTCAAATTTTATTACAATAGTCCATGTGGTTTCCGAAATATTAATAAATAACATTTGTTTGATTAAAACTTTAACACCCTGTAGATCGGAAACTAACGGTTTTCGGTTCTGGTCTATTAACGAAATATATCCAAAATTAATTGCACTACCACCCCTTGCAAGGAATGCATCTACTTACCGAACACCCTGTATGTATAATTACAAGTAAATTATTCTTCGAACATTAATGAATAGCTTTCTCTAGCTGGAATATAGAAAAGCATACATAGTTCTCCGCATTGATTTACGAAGTTTTTGTTTCATACGAAGGAATATCACATTTTATTATTTTGAATATTATAATATTAGGTTTTAATATTTCAGTTTTTTTAAGTTTTTAATAGTCAATTTTTCACATCTTGATGCATCTTGTAAATTTAAGTCAAAATCGTTTTGTTAGTTACATTTTATTCGATTTATTTCAGTACAAATATCTTTCAACATCATACCAAACAAAAATTTTGATTTTATGTACCTAAACCTTATTTGAAGTCAAATATTATCTGAGACATTTTGATTTCTGTAGCGATTTATGTAAAAATAGTTGCTTTTGTCGCAAACTATTTTTATTTTTCAACGGAGGGGAAGAAAGCAAGTGTGCACACTGAGAAAACTCCGGTCAAACAAGACATATTTTGTAATGAGGTGTGCCAGGTTGCCAACACACTTATGCATGTAACACACATTTTTCGATTTCCAATATTTATTATCTTTTATTGTTTCAGATACAACAATAACCTTTGAAAGTGGTAAGCTATTTGAAAATATTAAGTATTGGCAATATGTAACTAATATAGAAAGGTTTGCAGCTGCTTAACGTATACACTAACTGATATTTAATCAAATATGCACGATTCCTAAAAATTGAATCCCATTTTGAGCAATTAAAAGACACTACAAATATTTTGGCGACCCAAAATCAATCTTCCCGGTTTAGTTGATTTAGTATTTCCATTTAATCTGCCCTATAGAAGAAAGAGCATTATGAAAAAATGATTTGGAAAATTATTAAATATATTTAGAAAAGACTGGATCCCTTGCTATGTATAAAGTTATGTACGGTTTAAACATTTTGATTAAAGTTAAAAATAAATGCATTGTCTTTGCCCATTTTATAGAAACCGATCGAAACGGTTGCAAGGGGTGATGAAATATTTTATTTACATTTATCAAAGCCTAAGAGCAAATCTAAAAGAGAAATAATTTGTTTCAAAAATTTGGTAAAGGAATTAATCGATTTTTAATATTAAAATCTCGGAGCGTATGGATTTCATATATTTCGTGAATTTGTGTGAACAGAAAACGAATATGTTGTAAATGAGAATTTTGCATGGCGAGATATTACGTCCTTAGTTTTGAGCAATTCAAAATTTTCTTTTTTAGCACAATAATTGAAGACCAAAAAAAGATAATAAGACTAAAATACATGTTAATAAATAAAACTTTGAAATACGTGTTCAATAAGTAACAGCAATTGCACAGAATGCCAGTTTATAGAAGTTCTATAAATATACGTAAATTCTTATTATTTGAACTTTTTTTAACCTAATTATTTACTATTCTAGTATTTAAGTTAATTCAGATTGACACCGGACGGAATGTAAATTCGCAGATATTTTAATTTTTTAGGAAATGAGGAACATATTTAATTTTTTTAACTTAGTTATTTGCAGCCCTAAGTATTTAAGGTCATTTTCATTGACACCGGACGCCGGTCACGACTTTTCATGATTTAAGGAATGAGAAGTATATTGTCACAGCTTGGTAAAGAATAAAAAATGTCCTTTGTTAGAATGTAAAAGCAAAATTTCCAATTATACGATCTCAAGTTAACTTTTCCATCAAATTAGACTGTATAATGGTTGAACACAATTAAATTAAAAGGTCCACCGGGCGGCATGAATCGTTTTCTGGTACGTCTCCTGCAGGATTCTGTGTCGACGGCGGCCAAATATGCATTCAGCTCATTACACAGGTAAATTAAACCCGCCAGGGCTTACGACGTTGGCAATTACCTGGGGAGGTTTATCTCACCTCGAAACGTGCTAGATAATTAGCCCACAATGGAACTGGAGGGCAAATAGGATTTAAACTTGGAAAGGGTGATCTTAGTTGTCTGGATACTGGCAATAATCTTGCTAAATTCGCATCAATAGTTCAAAAAAGATTGTGCAGTTATACATTTAGATTTGTTCATTTGAAAGTATACATATTTTCCCAGCTATTGATTAATTGTGACTGATTGATTCCAGAATGGTGTGGGAAAAAACCTTAGCAAATATCAAAGGGTTAATTATAGCTCAATTTTGTCTACGAAATAGAGTTAAACATAGCGAAGGCGTATGCCGTTTGTTATATTATTTTCATATTTTCTTCAATTAACGAAAATTATTTGTCCATCTATCTATTAAAAGCTGCAGCTGCTTTTGCAAGGTTTAGTTGATTCAGCGATATCAAGTGTAGCATTATTGACGGAGATGATGCTCTGCGATTTTACATATATTTTTTTCTTTTCATAAGAAAACGTGGAAACAAAATAACAATTAGTCTTGAAGAAAACCTTATAAGACATATAGAGAATCACAAATCTTATTAAATATATTTTTTAATGTATATCTAACAACTGTTATCCAAAGCAATATTCAATTTAGAAGAATAAGCAGAAATACGCAAGAAAGCGTGTAATAACACACATAAAACAGAATCAATGATAGTTACGTCTTAAAAAGATGTTTCCCACCACCTGAAGGAAAGTTTACAACCTTTTCCCAAGCAAGAACGGTAGTTTTGAATCACTATCTATAACTAATTAGCAACCAATTAACGGATTTTACCGTTTTAAAAACCCATGAAAAAACTCGCTAAATCGATATGACAATAAACGTTTAATTCTCATTAAGCAAACATACGACAAATCGTTATCAGCTGTGGTTTTCAATTTGAAATTTCTCACTGAATTCAGTTCGACCCGCCTCATTGAACAAATATGTGAATTCGTTCCGTCCGTGTATAACTGAAAAGCGAGACTTTACAATCTGTTACACACCGCGAACTCCGGACATTTTTCAAAAGCTCTTTAATCGCTGATCGGAACATTGAAACCTGTTGCTGGAATCAATCGACAAATAATATCCAACGATTATTTCAATTTTATTACGGAGATGTAAATCAAAGCCCTATAATTGCAATCAGTTTCGTAGTTACTTTAAAAGTAAATCTTGCTAAAAAGGCAGAAACATATTTGCAAGACTTTTTCTAAAAAAGGAAAGAAAATTTCTAAAAAAAACTTTTTGAAACCCTGTATGAAGCTTGCAACAGAACGACTCTTCAAAGCAATTATTCAGGACTGTCTCATTATGCGAAAAATTATATACAAAGAAAGTGCAGTGTCGTAGCATCTTACTGAATATTATAATATCTAAAATAATACAAAGAAATATCGGCCGTTTGATACAGACTTGCCAGAAAATAATGGGTACTTTATATTTTTACTACATCAAAGGCATCACTGTAATAAGAAGTTCCGTGAAAGTAAAAGCCGCATTTTGAAATATTTGAGCGGTCAAAAATTCAACCCATGGATATTTTAGCTGTAACTTCAAAAACGACTTAAATTAAACTTAATGAGACGTTAAGGAAATTAAGTAGAATTAAATAAATCGTGTAGATGGAGCTGATCATTTGTCCAATTAAAAAATATTAAAAATTGAAATAATCTTGGAAATCGAATACTCAATTGCAGTGGAAAATCATCGTATTTCGTGGGGAAAATTTGTTGGAACAAAAATGTGAGAAAAAAGTTAGGCTGCGTGATTAAAATTTTTGAAAAATCTCCAAATTACATCAACAAAACATGATTACGTTGATCAATAATGCTACAAATTTTGTTAAAACTTTGTAAATTTAGATAAGTTCTATATTGTTGAGGCGGATTCATTTTTTACAAACTTCTTTTTGAGGCGAAATACCCAAAAAGAAGTTTGTAAACAATTTGTAAATTTACACCGATACACCCAACACTGTTCAATTCGATATTCATCAAATAATCAGTAAAATATTTTCTCATCAGCCATTCAGTTCATGGTAAATAACACCGGAAATTTTAAGATTACAAGAATCAAACCGAAGTCAATATTCCGCCGATTAATCGGGTTTCATCATCCCCTCAAATATCTTTACACGAACATCGGGGTCCCAATTGGCTGTTTCGGTTTCGTGATTTCGGTCTTAACAATGGTAATAAAATTTTATTTCTTGTAAGTATTTTCTAATGTTCTCCAAATTGTTCGATTCAGGAGACACGTAGGCAATAACAAGGTTTCGATTGATATGTTGGATTTAAATAAAGAAACTCGATAAAGAATGATGGCGATAATTACATATGTTTATTGCGTAAGTATATACGCACCTGTTCTAAAGGAAGAAAAACGTAACCGAGCTCGCAAAAACCAAAGCTGAGCTGTAACTAAAATCACAAGAACTAAGCTAAAATATTCAATGAAATACCTATTGATGACCAAAAACTTTTTTTAAGGAATAATTTAAAACATCAAATTAAAATTGTAGACGAACGGTTCAATCATATTGAAATAAATCAGAAACAAATATAAAAGACCGCGATGATTGTTTTAGATGATGAATGATGAATAAAGCTGCACTTGTTTCACTATGTTAGCATTTCATACGATTGCACAAGTGAAATTTTATTCTTGAATGTGTTAGACGCCTTCAATGTGAACTTTGATAGAGAAAACTTAAGAAATTTTCAAATGATTAAGAGAATTTTATTATTTTTTTCCCTAAAGAATCCAGAAGCCAAAAAGGTTCTAAAGCAAACTGAACAGTGACAAAAATTAATTGCATATTTCACATGTAAGAGTTTAAAAAATCAATAAGCTTACCAGAAATGATTCATCATCCCTCTGTACCCACGTACAATAAAACAAGGTCATTTTCATTGTACGATCCGTAAAAGAGATTCTGTGGGGTGACTTTATGCACCCCAGCGGATGATCCTGTGCATGCCAAATTGACAATGCTCAAGTGGCTTGCTGAGTTATCGATATCTAAATGGATCGATGCTGCTACTCAAAACTGTCGGATTGTCGAAAGGCCCGATTTTGTGTAATTTTAAGTTAAGTTTAAGTCAATATTATCAGCAATTCTAAGTTCATTCTTGGTATTTGAATAATTTTAAATGCGAGTGACAAACTTTTTAACTAACAGCAAACAGATTTTGGACATAACTCATTTTGGACATAACAAGTACAAATAAAAATTTTGTAATTCAGTTGGTTTATATGAGCACTGTAGAAATGTTGGTTCTATAACCCGGCACGGCTACAATATGAAAAGATAACATGTGAACATGTGAAAGGAATGTTTGTAGTAACGGTTAAAAAGTCGCAGTTAAAAATAAACTAGAAATTTTATTACAATATTTTCTAATCTATACAAATATCGATCATACCTATCACATCTCTAGTTTACAGCCCGCATATAGTTAATGAATTCTCATTCGTTTGGCTGGGGGGTTAAATCTTGCTGATATCAGTTTTGAAAGGCTTTTTATTTCTTTAGGTTCAATCGAATAAATTTCAAAGGTAATTCTCTGAAATCAATAGATCTTATCTGCTTTGGAGACTCGAGCTTGTTCTCGAATACGATGCTTGAATCTATAAGAATTAGAAAATGTAATTATATACTTTGTACCTGTCGATTCTTAAATAACATAATCATTTAAAAAGAT